GGGGCATTTTGTTCCCTTGTTTTTTTCATTTTGTTAGTGTGTTTTCCCATCAGAAAGTGTGGATCTAAGGCAGGATAAATTCTACCCTGTAGACCTATAGTGTCTCTGAAGGTTTTCAGTGCTTCATCTTTACTGGTGAGACCAATATCAACAGCATCCAGCATGCACACTATATATCCTTAAACCTGATAGCTCCCACTAAGGCATCTACTGGTTTCTCAAATTAAACCAAAATGATGAGTTCAATAACTATCTATAGTACAAACAGAATATTTGTTAAAATGATTTACAGTTTCAAGTGGTAGATGAGAGAACAGAGGTAGTGTAGTATGCAATATTTGCAAGGGAGGAAGAGAGAATTTAGAAGTAAAAATTCATAGGAAGAGTGGAAGAGGAGCTAACAGAGATTGACTGCTGGTTGGAGAAAAGTTGAAAAGCAAATCCAAGAAAATAGACAAGAGAGAGGAAGAATGCAAACAAAGAGAAAAAAATCAAAGACATAAGAATATAACAAAAATACAAAACACCACTCATATATCATTGTCCTCCACACACTGATGCATAAAAAACATCCTGTTCCAAATATGGTAGAGAKATTCGTGAATCAAAAAATAAAATAAAATAAATCTTGCTGCAAAGTCAAACTGTCTCTGTCAGTATTCAGTAGTTTCTCTGCCCTCTCTCTCTCTGTCTCCTGGGATCACCAAACCCAGATCAGCCCTCACAATCCCAGTCACTATCCCACCAATCTGAACTTCAGATACCTCAGGCTCGGCGACGCTGTAGTCCCAAGATCTCAATGCTGTTCCTACTTGCAGAGAGACCACCAGGGATACATTCATGCAAAGGAGCAACCCTGAGATGTAGCAACAAGACAGGGCCACTCATCAGGAAGACCTCAGGCTCCTCCAAACCTGCGGGCACCCCCCATAGTGGACCTGCAGGTCCTAGCTGGAGTCCCCAGACAGAGGCTCTTGTGGTGGTAAACCTGCTGGCACCTGGGCCCCAGGTCCTAGCTGGTGTTCCAAAATGGGTGCAGCCATATGCAACCAAAGGAGGAGTGCTCTAGGCCACGGTAGCAGCAATAGTGGCAGTGGTTGTTGGCAGCAGGCAGCGGGTCAGCAGTAGCTGTGGCTGCAGAGGCTGTAGCAGTGGCTGCAGGGGCTGCAGTGGCAGCTGCAATTGCAGCTGTAGGGGCAGCCTCACCAGGCGATCTCAAGGAGTTAACAGCAGTGTCGGCTTCTGTTGCATCCAGGGCAATGGTCTCTTCTGTGGCAGCAGCACCCAGAAARAAGACCTCCAGGCAACCTCAGGCTGTCAGGAGCAGATTCAGAGGCAGCAACAGTGGCAATAGTGGTACAAGCAGCCTATTTATTTATTGGGAACTGGGGATTGAACTCAGGGGCACTCGACCACTGAGCCACATCCTCAGCCCTATTTTGTATTTTATGTAGAGACAGGGTCTCACTGAGTTGCTTAGCCCCTCACTTTTGCTGAGGCTGGCTTTGAACTCCCATCCTCCTGTCTCAGCCTCCTGAGCTGCTGGGATTATAGGCGTGTGCCACCACATTCGATGAGAACTTGAACTGATACTAGTGCATGATTGCATTAGGAGTCTAGGTGACACTGGGTTTTTAAGAGGAAAAGCTTAACTCTCCTTCACCCATTGTTGGACCACTCTCTCCATACCAACACAAATCCCCTCTCATCTTTGCTTTCCCCATTTGCCCAGTTTAGACGACGTCCTCCATCTTTCCCATCATTTAGACAGTGGAAAAGACAGAGATGTCAAACTCCTACTAGTGTTTGAGGCCATCCTCTTTGTAGCCCGCTTGCATCCTGGCTGTTTTTTCTATGTGTCTATTCACGTTCTGCTTCTCTTAAAAGTTATATTATTCAAATGTCTTTCTGTTATAGACACTTCTCTAATTTCATACCTTCTCTAGGCTACCTCATTTACTTTCATTTATTTAGTACCCAACTGACTTACAACATAAAAATTAAAACAACAACAACAACAACAACAACTAGCCAATGGACTTGGCAGTAACTCCCAACATTGTATCCTTGGCTCCATGTCACTTCAATTCCAGACCTTATACTCAAGTTCTGTTTATCACTATCATTTGCCTGATTCACCGGGACTTTAAAACTTAGTATGTTCAGCACAGCATTTGTGATCTAAATCCTTTTTCTTGTGTTTCCTGTTTTTACTGAATGGGATACTACCTGCAACAGTTGCTCAAGCCAGAAATTCAAGAGTTATTCTGGTACCTCCCTCTCTCTTTATTTCCTCTTCCAACCAACCCATGACTAAATCCTTTTGATGATGTGAATAGTACTTCTTCAATAGCTCTTCAATCTACACATGTTCCATTTCTTCTACTAGGTCTTGAATTCAGTTATTTCTTACATGAAATACTGCCCTGGTTGCCTAACTGATATCCCTGCATTCTCACTTGCCTTCTTCTGGCTGGTTGTTCACAGAGTAGCTAGAATGGTCTTTTCAGACAAAACTGATCATGGTACTCCTCTTCTTAAAACTTATTCCACAGATCTCATTGTCTTTAGGCTGAAGCCCATACTTAGCTCTGTGTGACCTGAGCCAACTTCTCTAGTTTTTTCCCCACCAATTCCCATTGTTGTCTTTTTGTTGAATGTTCAAGATCCTGGGTTCCATCCCCAGCACCACAAAGATAAATAAATAAATAATAAAAAAGATTATTTAAAAAAGTAGAAATTGGAAAAAAAATTCTTCTTGAAAAGGTTTTATTAAGAGAACCATTTTGTACTTTTGATTTGGAACCTTTATAATTTTGTACTATGGAAATTGAGTGTCATAATGGGAGAGACAGATAGCCGGGCTGATAGGATTGAATGAGATGTTTGCCTTGGCCTCCTGTGTCAGTGTCTAAAATTTGAACTGATTGCTTTAGGGCTCTGTGTTCAGAAACAAAGACTTCTGAATTCACACTCAAGGAGATAGGGTTTGATGAGTCTCACTAGAGCTTCATTTAAACTGTTTATCATGTTTTTATCTTTTTTTAAAATTTGGTCCCTAGGATTGAACCCAGGGGCACTTAACCACTGAACCACATCCTCAGCCCTTTTTTGTATTTTATTTAGAGACAGGGTTTTGCCGAGTTGCTTAAGGCATCACTGAGTTGCTGAGCCTGGCTTTGGACTTGAGATTCTCCTGTCTCAAGCTATGGGGATTACAGGCATGCAACACTGAGCCCAACCTTGTTTTTATCTTTCAATGTTGTTACTTATTCTTTATTGTTATCACACTTAATACAGTGGCTATGTTCAGAGATCTTTTGAAGGCATTTATAAAAGGTAACTATTGTGTTGCCTCAATGTAATAACCTTTGAAGAATAAACTCTTCATAGTTGGATTTTATGTTCTTAGAAACATTTCTGCTAAATAAATTTAGCAGTTAAAATTATGAGCGGAACACTGTGGCACACACCTGTAATCCCAATGACTCAGGAGGCTGAGGCAGGAGGACTGTGAGTTCAGAGCCAGCCTAAGCAACTTAACAAGGCACTTAACAACTCAACAAGACCCTGTCTCTAAATAAAGTATAAAAAAGGGCGGGGGGGTGGCTATGGCTCAGTGGTTAAACACCATTGGGTTCAATCCCCTGCACCAAACAATAACAACAACAACAACAACAAAAACCCAAAACAAAAAATTATGTTGCATAGGTTGATACATTGATTATTATAATAGTTACATTTTCTGTCAGCAAATTACACCAAAATTTTTATTTTAAAACATTTGGTATCACAGTTTATGTCCACTAGGAACCTGACGCTGGGGTGGCTGTTTGCTTCTGGTTTAAAGTCTCTCCCAAGGTTGTAGTCAAGCTGCCACCCAGCTGGGCTGCAGGCGTCTCAAGCCTTGATGAGGGCTAGGCTCATCATGGTTATTGGTAGGCCTCCCAGCACTCACATGGGTCTCCCCACAGAGCTGTTTCTGGATGTGGCCGCTGGCTTTTTCCTTGGCCAAAAGAGCTAAGCAAGAGGCTCAGTTTTTTATAACCCAATTTTGAAAATAGTATCACCTCTGCTATATTCTTTTGGTTGGAATTGTTTTTTGAGATTCAACACATAGTCAAGAGAAGGGATTATACAAGTGTATAAACATCAGAAGAGGAAAATTGTGGGTTGCTGCAGAGAAACTTATGTGTCCACTTGCAAGCATGCACACACACACATTGTTGTGGACTGAATAGTGCCCCCAAATTTACATGTGGAATTCCTAACCCCCAGTACCTCAGAATATAATTGTATTTGGAGAGAAAAAAATTTTTTAAGTATATATATTTTATTTATTTATTTTTATGTGGTGCTGAGGATCAAACCAAGTGCCTCACAAATGCAAGGCAAGCACTCTACCCCTGAGCTATAACCCCAGCCCTGAAGATAAAATTTTTAAAGAGATGACTAAGYTAAAATGAAGTGGCTAGAGTGGGCCCTAATCTGACTAGTGTTGTGAGAAGAGGAAATTTGGACAACAGAGAGAGGTCACCAGGGATGCTTGAGCATAGATAAAGACAATGTGAGGATACATCAAGAAGGTGGTTATCGTCTCTCATAGTGTCCCATGCCAGAGCAAACGGTAGCCCTGAATCATTGCCTGGCCTCTGCCTTAGGCTGCTGACAATGAAGAGGGTTGCACAGTGTAGAAAAGAGGAGAAAAGAAGACAAAAAAAAAAAAAAAAAAGAAGAAGGTGGTTATCTGCGAGCCAAGAAGAGAGGCCTCATAAGAAACCAAATCTGACACCTTGATCTTGGGTTTTTGGCCTTCAGAACTGTGAGAAGATGAATTTCATTTGGTAAAACCTTATCTAGTCTATGGCATTTTGTTATGTCAACTTTAACAAATTGATATGCATGTATTTTTATAATATTTTAAAAGAAAACGTTTTTCATAATACTTAAATTTTACAGTAATATCAGAATGTATCTTCTTTTTCCCCTTTAAATCACAGGAACAGTGTTCCTTTAGTTGGGACTGGGGGCCTTCTTTTCCTACCCAAGGAATCTGGAAAGGTGTTAGAATTGAAGCCTATAATATTTGTCATCTGTATGACTTCACATTTGTCCCAATGTATGGTAAGTTAAGAACTGTAATTTCTTGTTTTTGTGTCTTCTCCTCTGTGTTATAAATATTGAGTTTGTAATTTGAATATATATTTTTCAGAGACTTAATTTTTAAAAACACGTTATGGCACTGCCAATTTATAAATGTAAGATGTAGATACAAACTGATTTGTCAGAAAAATTGACAATATAAAGCAGGTAGGTAGGTAGATACCTTTTAGCATATTTTGCAAAAAAAAAGGAAGAAAAAAATGAAGAACATCTCTAATTCCTCCTGAGCTATGTCTTCTTTGTTGGAAGGATTGGGTGTGCTGGCTTGTACTCCTTTTTGCTGTCCCTGAGGTCACTTTCAGTGGTTTGCTGTAGTCACTAGACCAGTTTTTTGTCACCGTACTTTATCTCCATAACTCAGAGAGCACCTCTGAGGCCCCGACATGTAAGCCTTGTTAAAGAGTTGAAAATGAACTGGAAGGCAGAGAAGACACAAAGAACATTTTGCAAAGTGAAGAAACTTCTTTTAGTTGAAAGAACTATTCCCTATCAAGGAATATTGAAATAGAACCCAGAAATCTCACAGACGTCAGCGAATCAGTTAAAATTGGATCAAATATTTGTTGAGTTCTTTTCTGAACACTGTGTTTGTTTGGCAGAGAAAAGAAATCGAGTACAACCAGTCATTCCTCAGGGTGCTGCACACTGGTTGGGGGAGGAGGGGTGATATAAAAGATTACCAATCCATGGGCAGGGGTTGTGCTCAGTGGTAGAGCACTTGTAGCATGTGTGAGGCATGATGGGATTCAAGTCTCAGCACCACATATAAATAAATAAAAAAAATAAAGTTCCATAACAACTATATATATATATATATATATATATATATATACACATATATATATGTCTATACACACACACACACACACACACACACACACACACACATATATATAAAGAGGGATGTTTTACTTTTAAAACTTGACTTGAAATTTTTGTGAATTAATTTACTTTGTGTGTATAATGTGTATATGTGTATATATTTCTCTCTAATCTCAATCCTGATAATAACGGTTTCTAAACTTTCGTACTTTTCAATATCTTGTGACCATTTGTTTGATTTTTTTTCCCCTGACCTCAGCTTCCTAAATGATTTTTACAAAGTTCTTGTTTATTTTTTTGCTTTTTTGCCATGCTGGGTGGGAATTGAATACAGGGCCTTGCAAATGCTAGGTAAATGCTCTATCACTGACCCATACCTCCAAACCCAATGTTCACATATTCTTAATGTTCAAGATGCTAAACAATAAAACAATTATATTTGAAAATAATGCTGAGATCACAGTAAAGCAGGAGCCACTGATGTTTTTAGGGCTACTAAGATTTATCTGGGTTTTAAGATACCAGTGCACTGGTATAACTTTCTTCAAAACCCGATTAGCAGAGATTTATTTAAATGATTCATCCTTAGCCCTGAAATATTCTCATCAGGTTTTAAATAGCAGTAACTCTTGTAGGAAAAACCCTATTTTCGGTATTTTTAAAAGTGAAAGATTCACAGTGGTATTGAAAAGGGAGGCCCAGATGCTTTGACCAGGTGTGACTCAGCAAACCTCTATTGATCTTTTTCCATGGAGTTTGGGGTGGGTGTTGCGGGAAAACCTACTGCGTGTGCTGAGGGAGGGGAAGGAGAAGTCTGGGCTGGACTTGGGTTACTGAGGTTTGTGGGGAGGTAGGGGGGAATGTAACAGGGAAGGTGGATGCCTCAATTCTAAAGATTAGTACATTTATGAGAAAATGATCTGTGCCAAAATGTAGGCCTTTGGGTTTGATGGTGGTTTTTTTTGGTGTGTGTGTAAGAGAGACAGACAGATATTCGTTATCCTTGAGAGTTGTTCCAGTTGGGCCATACATTTATTAGGGAGTGATGATTGCCTAATTTTGTGACCTTTTCATACTGTCATATAGACATAAATTAAAATATATAATTTGTTTTGTTGAAATACTCTGTCATTTAATCTTTTGTTCAGTTAGGAAAGCATGGAGATGTTTTTTCAACCTGTGAATTCCCTTGCTTTTGTAGTTCTTTCTGAGGTTGGGGTGGCTGTGAATCTCTGACCCATACTTGGGACACTTTTACTTTGCCTGCCCTGTCCAAATGTACGGCTGCCTCAGGACTCCTTCATTGTGGATGACCTAGCCTTTGAATTGCAGGAGTGAACTCCAGCACTCAGCTGKACCTCGCCCTGCACAATAGAGGTCTAGTTCAAGGGCATTGCTACCTTTTGCTTATAGCTTAACACAGAAAATATAATATTAAAATATAGCAAAGATTTGTTGGTTTTGTTTAGTACCTTACTTGGTAAGCATTCATTCTTTTTTTTTTTCATGCATTCCTTTTTTAAATTCATCTCTGAATTACTTTTTTCCTAAAATAACACTCTTCTCCTTTGAAATTGCTGTATGGGTAGTCAGGTTGCTTGAATAATCTTTCCTCTGATTTATTAGTTGCCTTCTTGCATAGGTACCTTTTCTTCCCTGGAACATACTCCTGTTCTATTCCTTGTTTTGAAGGGGATTTTGCTTTGGGTCTTTTTGCCTTGATTTCATTTTCAGGGATTTTGTCCTGCTGAGTAGGCAAGGAGATCTTGCTGTTTGGTGAAGGGAGAGAAAACAGCTGCTGTAGCTAACCATGAGCCTGCCTTTCGGCCAATTCAACTGATAACTCTTTAAAAAGCAGCTGCTTCTATCTGCCCTCTAATTCTAGCAGGAGTCCAGGAAAATAGCTTATGTTTGAATTTACACGTTCTGCAACTTGGCCAATTCAGTATGGTGTCATTACTATTTCTTTAAATGCACAGTACTACTTTTTCCCTGTAGCTTTTCGTTTCCTATGAAAGATGCAGAAAGAAGGAGCAGGCAAAGGGGGGGGGGGGAGCCGCAGGAGCCCAGCAGGGCGAAGCTAATCAAGGCAGCTGTCTTTGAATAGCTTTTTCCTCCAATGAGATGAAGCATCTTTTTCATCTTACATAAGCAGACGTTTGCAGATTTTTCCCATGCCGACCTGAACATTCCCTGCCTCTGAACTTCCATTTCCCTGCTAGTCCTTAACCCCCCAGATGCCATCTGGTGTTCTTAACTGTGACCTTTGGATGTATTTTGTTTCTCTAAGTACATTTTCAGATTTAGAGACAGCAGTTTTGCCTTTTTGGATTAGTTTGTAATATATAGTGTCTGTTAAGCTTTACAGATGTAACTATTCAAGAAATCTCTTTCACTGGTTTGATAGAAATGCTCACATAACTGTTTTTGTGCCCTGGTCAGTAGTTTAGGCTGCAAGGATGGTATTTTGAGGAGTGGAGGAGCTGAGGCACCACATAATTATACGTTCATTGGAGAGTCAGACACGTTCTGTGTTCCTAGACTCTAGTCTTCCTTACTTTTTTTTTACAAAGATGCTCATTAAGAAGGTAACGTTTTATTGTTTTAATCCCTCCAAATGCTTTGTTTCACTTGGAATGTATTTATTTGCTTTTTGGAGTTGGAGTCTGAAGGACTGATTCCCTTTGCTTTTATTCTTCCTTATCATTCATATACAAATTTCTGTCAGTGTGTACCTGCTAGCATCATCCTTTTCAGTAGGTGCTCTCATTAGGCAGCTGTGAGCACTGGAGTCAGGAAGCCTGGGGCCCTGTTCTCTCCTCGGCCTAGGAAACTTTGAGTTAGGACTGCACTTAGGGCTTCCACAACCTCATCTGCAAAGTGACTAGGACATCTCCAGGATTCTTTTATCTCTGCCTTTCCATGGATCTTTCTTTTCATTTAACTAGATGTACCAGTACAACTTACTGAGAGTTTAAATGTGGAAGATCCCAATTTTCCCTGAAATTAGATATCATACAGCTAGACGAAGACATTGAAACTTGAGGATTTATTAAAATCATTGAAGCAATGCTTAAGATGTAGTTTGAGGGGGCTGCCATTGTAGCTTAGTGGTAAAGGGCTTGCCAAGCATATTTGAGGCACTGGGTTTAATCCTTGGCACCACATAAAAATGAATAAATAAAATAAAGGCAACAAAAAAGTTGTATCTGTTTTAAAAATTATTAAAAATTATGTAGTTTGAAACCATGTCTTCCTGGTGCTTGTTTATATACTTGTATTAAGGTAACTCAACCATCTTCTTGTTTTTCTAATTTCTATGTTTCATATATAATTTTTTTCTTCTAGACAGCTGAATAAAGCAGTTCCCCACCCCCTGTTCTTTCCTTTTTCCCATCACATATTTACAAAGAAGACAGTATAATAACATTCTTTGAAGAATTTAAAAGTCTAATGTATTAGACACAAACTAGAGATGTCTTAATGATCTGTGAATGAACAGCACACATTATTCTGGGCTGTGAACCTGCCTAGCCTTTCTACAAATTCCCATCAGTCAGGAACATGGTGCCCTACCTTCCTCTATCCTTCTCTTCCTTACAAGAACCTCACTAAGTTGGCTCTTGGAAAAACTTAACATGAGTCAGTGGCCAGAACCACATTTCCTGCCATCCTCTGTGTTGACTTTCTGGTTGAAGTCACATGAACAAATTATAAACCATATCTATTCACGGGCCCAGGATATCAGTAAGGACATATCTGAGCCTTCAGGAGGACCTCAAGTTGTAGAGAGGGCAAGCCAGCCTTGCCTGTCCTCCTGTTTTGATAAGGAATTCCTGTCTCATTTGGGGCTCGGGTGTCAGGATGAGGAGAGGATACTATGCTTGGTGTAATTAGGAAGGATGAGCACGGTAGGGGACTCTGGATGATGTGACAGTCCTTCTTCCCTACCCCCAACCCCAGTACTACTTTGGAAATTATCTTGTACGACAGTATCTTGGTATTTTCTTGAATGCACTTCAGGAGAGCTGAGGATGAATGGTATGTTTTCCTTAGAAAATGGACTCTAGGAGAGCTATGCTAGGAAGGTGTATTCTAGACATGGATCTTAATTTATAAGATTAAATAGAAATAAGATTATACATTTTTTAAGTTAGCAAGTAAAAAGAAGTGACCTAGTAATATTGAAAAATTAACACTGTGCTTTGTGAACCTAAATTGCTTAATTTTCCATGTGCTTCTGGAAGAGTGGAGGTCTATATAAAATACACAAAATTTTGGTTATTGTTCAGAATGAAGAATTAAGCTCTATAGATCAAAATAACATTTCTATAGATTTTTTTAAAATGATATTGTTGCAGACTACTTAAGCTGCTTTGGTCTTCAGTGAATCCTGAGGAGTGAAGAGATGATGCTTAGCATATTGTATACATTTTAAAAAAATTTTTCTCTTTATGCTTTAGACAACAAAGCCCAGATGTGGAAGCTTAATATACAGACATTTTTTGATGTCATCAGCCCAACCCCAGTTGGTGGTCAAATGATCATAGCCATCCCTGAATTAAAAATACAGAAGACAAACAACATTAAACTTCAACCTGGAAAAAGGACTGTTGAGCTGTCTGTGAAAATTAACAAGGTGAATGATGATGCTTCCTGCAAAGCCCTGGTTGAAAGTGAAAGCTGTTCAAAACAAATGGTTAGAAAGAAGGGTCCAAGTATGAAAAAAAATTCTATTTTCTTCTTTTGTTTTCTTTTTTCTTCCCATTTTATCCTCTATTTTAAAACCTTTTTATTACATTTTGTGAGAGTATGAACCAAGGAATATATATATATTTTTAAGATTAAGAAAATGGAAAATATATGATGAATTTGGCAATCTTTCCTCTCAAATCAGTTACATTTGGATTTTTTTCTATAGTATTTGCAGTATCTTAAATACAAAATACTTTCTACATTTTTAAGTGCAGTGAGTATTTTTGTTACTTGTCAGTAATTTTGAATGCTGATGAGTATTCTGTATGTAGAATTCTAATTTAAACTCATGATCTTTCAAATTCTAAACTCATGATCTTTCATTGGCAGGAGTGGGATGGATTTTACCCCTCCCCCACTTTCTATTCCTCTGATTGATAAATATGAACTGGAAAAGATGGAGCAAAATCACATTCCGTAACTAGTCAGAACTCCACATAATTTCTAGTTCTTGTCTTGAAAGAACAGTTAACTTCAAAGTCCAAGTCTAAGTGTTACGAATATAGGATAAGTGTCAGCTGGAGAGTTAGAGGTAGGAGGGGTTGTTTTTCTGAACATCCATGTTTTTCTGTTCTTTCCCTTCCCTTTTGGTGTGTTAATCTGTGCTAATCTTCTAGCACATTGATTTTTTTTAAAAAAATATTTTTTCAGTTATAGTTGGGCACAATACCTTTATTTTATTTGTTTATTTTTATGTGGTGCTGAGGATCGAACCCAGCACCTTGCACGTGACGTGCTAGGCGAGTGCTCTACCACTGAGCCACCATACCAGCCCTCACACTGATTTAAAAAATATTATCAGTAGGTTGGTATGATTTGGCATAATATAGATAGGGAGACGTGTATTGCATAGAACCTAGAGTTCCTGTACTTGACCATATGAGAAACTGACGTAATGCTCTTGGTCATGTTATTTTTCTGAAAATATGCCACATTTCTTAGAGTGACTTACTATATTTCTTAAAAGAATATTCCTGTGGAAACTTGGTGGCCTCATGGACATGGAAACCAGACTGGGTACAACATGACAATTCTTTTTAAACTGGATAAAGATTTAAATATTGAAAGATCAGCTAAGGTAAGTAAATATTTTAAAAATATTCTGTGAAAAAATGACATTTCTTATTGAAATAACAGTATAAATCTTTGAAGGTAAAGAAGAAACCAGCAAAACTTACAACTCTTCCAGAGTAGCAGCATTCCAAAGCTTCTGTGTATATGTATTTAAATTTATATTTTAAATGGATCAGACTTTACATATTATTTTGGCAATAAATAGTCTCCTTTGGTGCTTTATATATTTCTCTCTCCCCCCTCTCCCCCCTGGTGCTGAGGATTGAACTCAGATCTTCACATGTACTAGGCAAATGATTTACCACTGAGCTATACCCCAGTTCCTTTCCTGCTGTGCTTTTAAATTGTGCTTTTTATTCAAGTAATACATATGTATAATTTTAAAGCTCAAGTATTACTAGAGGATTCACATAAAATGGGATTCTTTGCCCAACTCTTCCTGTTCCTATTTCCTAATCCCTAGAGCCAAAATTTTTAATTTCTATTTATTTCTTTTGCCATTTCTTTTCATTTTCCCAAATAACATGTTTTAACTGGAGTTTTCTAATTTTTCAGTCTTGCCCAGTTCAGGATACAGTGCTAAGAATTGGAAAGAACTGCACTTTATTATTTTTTAGATCTTGGACACTTCAAGTGCCATTTCCTTATATGTAAAATATGCATGGTAATAATGGGGTAACTTGGATCTGGCTTATAACAGTCACAGTGTATAGCAAGTGGTAACAGTATTAATCCTGTTCATAGATTTCCTCTTTCCTGCAACATCAACCTTTGGTATTTACAGTTGGCAGTGGTTGCCCTCTGGTGTCACCTCTCACATTTGGTGTTACTTTTCCTGCCAGATACCATCCACAATTTGGAATATGTCCTTCAGGAGTTCATTTTCTATTTTTATTTTGTTAAGTCATACAGTAATCTTAACAGTATGAAGTGTGTGTTTTTGTGTGTGCATGCCTGCAGAAAATAACTGAGAAGAACGTACTTGACCATTAATTCTTACTCTCACCTTCTTGGCTGAGGACACATGTTCTCTCACACAATGATTAATTGTGTGTCATCTTCATGAAAATGTAAAAAACATTGAGTCATTCCAACTTGCTACAGAGAAAGAAGAGGGACTTCTGCCTTCTTGTATTTGTGGTAAACAATTCTATTTCATTCAGGCTAATAAAGTTGCATAGTTGTTCATTACATATGAAGATGTCAACCTTTGAATCACACAGAAGCAGGAGTGAAGAGGGTACGTTGCCACATACCCCGAATTCATCCATGTGTGTGCAATGTGCCTTTTTACTGTGGCTTCTGTAGAGTTCTTTATTTCTTAGGCTCATTCATTCAGTCAATACTTAGGGCACCTACTGTGTTTGGGCTACTATGCTAGGTATTGGTGATACAGCTGGGTATAAGACATTTCTCTTTGAGACTCTTATAAAGCTGGTTATAATAAAGGGGGATGAGCACTTTAGAGAACTAGAGTACTGTGGAAACACAGAGCAGGGCATTCTGGGAAGACCTGTGGAGGTGACAAAATCTCTGTCCTGAGGGATGAGTAGAATTTGCAATGTAGAAGAGAAGCAGAGAGACTTGAAGGGAGAGTGTGTGTTTGTAGTAGTGAAAGAAATTCCAGTGCTGCTTGTTTAAGCTTGAAGTTTATGGACAACAGATGATGTCATTAAGGCAGGCTAAGGCAAGACCATGCACAGCCTAGTTAGCTGTGTAATGGAATTGGTGCTTCCCCAGGGCAGCGGGGATTCTTGGAAGGGGTTGGGTAATGATCATAYTTGTGTTTCACAAAGATTGTGTCACTTAGATTGGAAGAATAGCAAGAGCAGAGGTCAGTTAAATGACTATAGTGATAAATCAGGAACAAGGTTATAGTTTCTTGCTCTACAGAATTGATAAGGGAATAAAATTGGAAGAGAATTTCACAGATAACTTCATTAACTTTGATGATGTGGGTGAGAGAAAAGATGTTTAGAATGGCTGTTCAATTGAGTGTTTTGGACCTTTTATTGGATGAAAGATAATTATGTTCTTTAAGTTAAATTACTCAGAAAGAAAAGCAGTTTTGGGTGATGGGACAGGGTGGAGATCCCTAAGGAATAATATTTGATGGGTGTTTCATTATACAGGTCTGGAGTTTAAGAATTAGATCTGAATTAAGGATATAGAATATATGGACTTGCTTTAAAATTTTTTCCTTTGTCATTAGGGCCTAGGACAAGCTAGGCAAACACTCTACCACTGAGCTGCACTCCCACCACAGCAGAATAGAGATAATTGTACCCTTTTGAAAGGGATGAACTACCTAAGGGACTGTATAGAGAGGACAGAATCCCAGGGGATCATAATAAGTAAAGAAGGGAGGAGGCAAAAGCCTATAGTGGATTCTAAGAAGGAATGGTCAAAGAGGTCACTCATTTGAGTAGGAAGTTATAGGAGACAGAGGGAGAGAATATTTTAAGAGGCAGGACATATTAAAGAATGTCAGATGCTGTAAGAGAGTTCAAATTAGAAAAGATTGAGAAAGATCCTTTAGGTTTGGCAGCAAGGAGATCACTAGTTACCTTAACCAGAATGGAAATCAAAGAATGACTGAAGTGAGGACTATGGGGACAGTCATTACAGGCTACCGTTTTAAGAGGTATTACTGGGAATTGTAATGGTAGCCAGTTAGGGTTCCGGAGATTGGTTATATACCAGTGACTGAGCAATAAGGAAACTTATCGAAGTAACAGGATATGTTTTCACAGATGGAGAAAGGTGATGTACATATAGAATGCATTAGAATTGGAACTAATAGTGTGAATTCATGCCTTTCATGTGTGTGGAAAAAGAAATAAATGTAGATGTAAATGCATGTGTATGGATGGATGTCATTTCTGTTCTTTGAGTTAAATTCCTCAGAAAGACCAGGTTTGCTCTACACATACACATACATCCCAGCCCTTTCCCCGAGGTCCTGGGAATAGTGGCATTCTTTCTAGAAGCAAAGAGCAGAGCTTGTTCCCATATCTTGATTTCTGAATACCACTGTCTTCTAAAAGGAATCAGGGACCTTTGGAAGAAATGTTTGATTCTGGGGCTGGAGTCTGAAATCTTGTGCTGTGCCAGAAAGTAAGGAGATACTCAGGAAATGTGACACATCAAAAGGACATAGGACTGGTGAAATTGGGGTCTTACTGGCCAAATCTGGGAGAATTTGAGCATTAAAATAAATAATGATTGTAAAAGATTTTAACCCATTAATCATAATGAAAATCCTTGAGTACGTACTTTTGTAAAGAAATAAGTGAGTCAAATGGGAGGGAAAGAAAGGAAAATCATTTCATAAGAGTGTCAATTAATAAATGCAGAAGGAATGGTAGAACTAGACATTTAACAACAACGTAGCATTAAGTAATTCATGCAAGAAATATAAACAGATGCCAAAATTTGAGTGTAAAAGTGGTATGAAATATGGTATATTGATGTAGACTCAAAGCATCACTCAATAAATTATAATGGAGAAAAAATACATAGAGTCACCTAATAGCTACTATCTGGATTAATTAAGATTATTTTCACCAATGAAATAAAGTGACATTGTGTCCACCAATAAACTACCACATGAAGGACATAGCATTACTTCTGCTTGTACCTCCAAAAGCAGACAGCCTGAATTTAGTTACAGGGAGACATCAAGACATTCCTATTTGCTAAAATTCTTAAATCTATTTCTCTTCAATTTATGGTAATATCAAGGAAAGACTTAGGACCATTTCATGTGGGAATGAACTATAGAGGCATAACTAGTAGTTGTGGTGTGTGATGTTTTTGTTATAATTTATGTTATTGGGACAACTGGTGAACTTGAATGGAATCTCCTGGTGAAGGGTATGCAGGAGTTCTTTGTACTATTGTTGCAACTTGTCTGAGTCTAAAGTTGTTATAACATTAAAAAGGGCACCATTAAAGGATGAAAAGCAACAAGTGTAAAATCCTGAAGGGAAGGGACCAGCCAAGAGGGAAAGACTGAAAATAGTTGAAGAATAGGGAGAAAATAGAGAGAGTCTTTGATCAGGCAAGAGGGGATGTCATCCACCCTACTCATGGATGGGTTCACTTTGGGATGACGGGCTCTGTGTTTTGGTTATAATAGGGGTTTATATATAGAGGAAAGGATGCAACTTGAGGATGGAGGAAATTTTGAAGGTGTCTGGGAACACTCAAGTCTATTTCCTATGTGTGAGACTTGCAAACTGTTCTTTCTGCAGAGTTATAAGAGGAAAAAGTGAACATGAGAAAAAATGTTTAGGGAATTCTGGTCAAATAACTTTTCTTTTTTTTTTTTTTCTCCTGGGAACTAGGTTGTAATGATATCTGCTGAGCTTAATTGGGGCAAGTTGGAAATTTGAGGAAAATAAAGGTTTAAGATGGCATTCTCGAAAAAGGTCAGAAATGCTGAGGCAACTTGGTAGCATTGTTAGGCAGCATTGAAGGCCCATTTGAGGTTGAAGACTGTGAATCTCTGAGAATCAGAATACCTTTACTCTGAAAGGTTATTGATTTCAGATTGCAACACTTTAGGCTGGCTGTTAAGTGGTGTTTTGCAAGGCATTTTAAGTATGTGGTCTGGTTTGAAAGTGTTTCCCTGGCCTTCTGCCCACCCTGCTTGTGCACTTGCTAGTTAAATCCCTCACATTTGAGCAGTTCTTTAAAGTTTGAGGTGAAGCTTGATTCAAAAAGTAAGACTATACAGTATGTTTCTACCTTATTTGCTTCTGGATTTGTGGGTATAGATGTTATGGTTTCTAAAATTACCTTCTTATTTCTAAAATGGAATAAAAGCAACAATTCTATATTGTGTAGGAGTCTTTTTTTTTTTTTTTTTTTTTGAAATTCATATAACCAAAGGTCACCTTGGGACCAGAAAAGTGGTTGTGTAGTTTATGTAATTTATGATTTAAATTGTTCACCTTTAGGCTTTTCAGATTTTTACAATACAGACTCATCAGGGGACAT